ACAGTGTTTTAACTTGTATTTACTGCCTATTTTTTTTCATGACAAAGTGCGATGCGAAGTAATACAAGCAAATGTATGCTGAGATATTAGTAAAACTCGGAACCTCAAATGGGCTTCGAACCCGCTATTCTCATTAACGTGAACGAGCTATCAGTCACACCAACCAAGCCTATTGATTTACCTTCCTCTGAGCCAATTTTTTACTCCAATTGTGCTGTCAGCATTCATCCTTGGACGGGAGTGACCTTACAAGTACAAACCGGCATTAAACCTATGTGAACCTTGGGTAAGAGTATTCACGGGTTCGAGGCCTCGCCGAGATTCTAGGTTTTGCTCATATCTCAGCATCTTTATGATTCTGGAACTTCTTTCAACTTGAACCCATTAAATAATCTTCTTTTATGGTGAAAACTTAATATTTTTGGACTAACAGTAATTAGATAGAGGTATCATTTCATGAGGGAATAACCACGGTTTTTGTTAGGAGCACCATTAAAATTGTGCTTAACACAATAGGTAATGAGCATTCATTTCAATCCACAGGGTGCAAGTGCAGTAGAACGCTTTTAATTTTAAACCAGCGTGGTTTATAGAGAATTTCATTAGTTGAAGTTGGAACTACGGATACCTACAAATCCTTGAGAGCAGGGTTTTAGCTCTTTTCTGTACAACGACAAAATTTCGCTTTTCTGGAGCCGGCGAAGATATATTTTTGTCTATCTACTACTTGAAGGTTGTATTGCAAATATTGAAACGGTTCGATATTTAAAGCCAGAAGTTTACAGAGTAAATTTGTAGGTTCTGCTGAAGTATATTTGAACGCGATGAAATAAAGACTATAACTCAAACGTTCGTAAGCACATCCAAAATATGAAATGACAATATACATGTGGGAAGCACAAGCAAGTTCGAGGCGCAGAGAAAGAATCTTCATCATTTAAAACAACCTTCCACGTAATCTTATGACTAATGAACTCAAGATCTCTCACATTTGCACTAGTAGACCTTATTGTTATGTAGGTATCATGGCATAAATGCGGAATTTCTGACTATTGGCTTACGACTCCGCTGCAAGAATCCCAACGGTGACTCATGAAAGTGGAGGCAATTCAAATCAACCCATTCTGTGAGCCGATAACGTGAAAGGTCGACTACTGCATTGAGATTTCGTTCATTAACGGAAAAATATTATCTGACTACCAGGAACTCCTGCGGTCAAATCAGCGAGTTGGTTAATCAATCTATAATTTATTTTTGAAGCAAAGGAAGGACCTATCGAGATACTTTGTATTTTAAACACCGTCTGTTCTACAATCGTTATAATTCTTCTTTAAGAAGAATTCTGTTGTTATGGAAGATATTCTGTTACCTCTTCCAATATGTACTTCACGATCAATTTCTCGAAGACCCTGTTCAAATCTGGACATTTTACTTTGTAAATATATCATTAACACATTCGCAGCGCCTAGTTTGTTTTGACGGCAGCATGCGAACGCGACTAATTTTACACCAGATACGGTATGAAGTGTCCAGAATTAGATATCAAATATCCATTAGTAGCAATCTCGTTATTACTGGACACAAAAAAAATCGTTATGCTTTGTAACTCATGAATTTGTGCATACACAACAGGTACATCTTGCCACCAGGTGGAGTCTTCCCTTTTTTTTGTGTACTACCAAGTGTGCGACATTGATTTCCTTGACCGAGCTTTCAAACAACATATGTGGAGAGAAGTATACCGATTGTTTACATGTAGGATACAGTTGAGAAGAAGATGCTTTAAAATCAATAAGCATTATCGTAAATATGTTGCATTGAGAATGTGTAAAATATCTTCTCCGATTATTAATCAAACACGAGGTTGATAAAAAGATTTATTCGGCTGTTTCGATTTCTTCGTTTTCCTCAGAGCCGGATTGATCCGAATCGATGATCCATAGAAGGTCGGCCATGCATTATCGCTGTTCGTAGTTGCATCGAGTCGAACACAGTGAAGTGGTCGAATGAAGAATTTCAGTTCACGGTGAATTCTTGTACAAATCGGATACTGGTCTACTGTAGCCATTCATTCTATATGGTCTCTATTTTAGGCAGTTATGCATCCTGCAACAATCAGTATTGTATTGGCTAGCACAAAAAAGATGTGTAGAATGTTTCCGAAGTTTGAATAACATGCTTGGGGTTGCCGGTATTTCTTGTCGTCCCCTTGATCGCCGAGTGGCTTGAGCAGCCGCCATTAAATATTGCATTTCTCCCTGACGCTTAAAAGAGTGGTTCTGCCTAATCGGTTCTGCTCGCTCTGGAGACTTGTTAAGCAGCGTATTTCTCTTCTAGGGTTCTCGTAAAGTACTGTGACCATCAGGTCGGTGGTCTTCTTGCAGTACGTTTGACATTCCGAGGAATCCAGTGACCAACGGCTCTTGTCCATCGGTTGTCATTCATACGCATTACGTGTCCGGTCCACCTTACCTTCGACTGTTTGGCGTAGAGAACGGCATCTTTGATTTTTGATCGTTGACGCAGATCGGAGCTTCGGATGCCATCACTTACTTGTGTAGAACGGGATACTCCTAGCATCGTCCTTTCGACTGCGCGTTCGATAATGCTGAGTAGTCTTTCATCCTGCTTACGCAGCGACCAGATTTCTGACGCATATGCTAGGGCAGGAAGTACCGTTGAGTCGAAAAGACGGGCACGGAGTCGGGTCTTCTTTGTTCTCTTCACTACAACCTCGATGCTCTTGAAAGCTGCCCAAGCCGCTCGTTTTCTTCTGCTTAGCTCTGGAGCTAGGTCGTTCTTCATAGTGATTTCCCGACCTAGACGGATAAAACTGGAGCATTCGGAGATATTTGTTCCGTTGAGCGTGAATGAAGCGTGCGAAACCAATCCGTTCTTCATGAACATCGTTTTTGTGAGATTTGGGCCAAGACCAGTCTTTCCACGGGCTTTATCAAAGCCGTCAAGCATACATTCCGCCTAGCTAATGTTTGGTGTTATAAACGACGATGTCATCAGCAAAGTGACAATGGTGTTACTGCCGACCATCAATTCTCACTCCCATATTATCCCATTTCAATGTTCGCATGACGTTCTAGAGGGTGGCTGTAAATAATTTTGGCGAGTTGGTATCGCCTTGGCTAATTCCTCTTTTGACGTCAATGTGGACATCGCTGTAGAATGGCGATACCTTGGTTGCGAATTTTCTCTACAGTTCACGAAGAATTTTTATGTACTGAGTAGGGACTTCCTGACTATCAAGGGCTTTTATGACTGCTTTTATCCCAAATGAATCAAAGGCTTCTATCTTGAGAAATCTAGTCGCAAACGGCTCTTGTGAAGCAATCCGTCCCTTACGGACATCGTTTTCGTGAGCTTTAATCGAAAACTATTCTTTCCGTTATCAAAGTGGACAAACATTCGTTCACCTTGGCTAGTATTTGGTGTTATAAAAACGACGTCATCAGCAAAACCAGAATGGTACAATTGCCAAACATCATTTTCTTTTCCATTTGTTCCATTCTAATGTTCGAGTTACGTTCTCAAGGTTCGAGGTAAATAGGTTCCGCGAGGAGGTATCGCTTTACCGAACTCCTTTTGTGCTCTCCTTGTTAATATCGTTATGGAATGGTTGTATTTTGGTTGTAAAGTCTTTGTATACCTCAGGAAGAATCTTTTTGTATTGACTAGGAACGCTCTGGTTGTCACGGGATTCCATGACTGCTTCATCTCAATTGAGTCAAAACCTTTCCTTAAATCGATGAAAGTGAAACAGAGCGGTCTTTTGTACCCTCGCAATACTTCAATGAGTCTTATTATGGTGTGAATGTAGTCCACCGTAATGAATCCTTTTCGAAACCCTGCTTCCTCGCATGGCCGTCCTGTTTTGTCAATCCTGTGTAGGATGTTTAGGATGAGTGTAAAGTTGGTAGACGACAGAGAAGCAGATTGGGCGATAGTTGCCGTTATCGTGTAGGTCACCCTTCTTGAACAATAGCACGGTATTGCTGGTCTTCCACTGAATGGGGACCTTGCATTTAGACAGGTAACGTGTGATGAGCCGAGCCAGTGTGTTTATGAGGACTGGTGGAGTGTTCAGCAGATGTTCAGATCTTATCCTGTGGGACCTGGTGTTGTTTAATTGTTCACCGACGGAATAGTAAATCGGATTTCGGAAGGGAGAACAGGTGGGATGTCGTATCCATACACTTTTACATGAGAGCAGGAGGACGTGGCTCTTGGAGGGGTCCGGTTTGTAATCGTGAATGATTTTCTCCGTTACCTTTCTCTTCGCTGTAAGTGTTCCGTCTCGGCGTCGGAGTACAATCTTGGTTTCGTAGTTGGAGAAGCTTCGGTTCTCTTTGAGAACGGTTTTCTCAGGCTACCGAGCTTCGACCATAACTGCTGCTCTTCTCTCTTTATGATCTTATTTTATCGCCTGTCTGCATTGTTTTGCATGTTCGGTCGTTATTCGCGGTTGCCTGCAGCTTGTGCGATTCCACGCTGACGTATCAGCTCGGGTCTTTCCGGAGACAGACGTCTATTGTTGACTTTCGAACTCTCAGCTTTCATAGCGCTAAAATGAAAATGTTGAATATGCCGTCGGTTTGAAAAGGCTGAAATGTGAAATGTGAAATGAAAGTGAAATGAATAAATATCACTTTATGGTGGTCTAGGGAATGCGTTTTTTGAACTAATCGGCTATTTCTCGTTTCCGCGGGAAATGAAATCTTGCACGAAAGAAACAATGATCTGATGTCATGTAGAAGTTTGGGACAGCGCGACATCGCTAACGCAAAACCTATGGTATTCTCCATTGCGAGACTCGTACTGCCGCTCCTCCTTTTCATTCCATTTTAACATTTGGGCACCAATATGACGTTCTGCAAACGTTCTTCTAGATCATCTTATCGTTAAAATCTCCAATGATTACTCTAATAATGAGTTAAAGAATTTATGGTCTTCTTTGTAAAACTTCTCCAAGTTCATATAGAGCACTTCTAGTCCGTCTTCGTCATAGTTGATGTCGGTGCGTAAACGGCGAAGATTGTCAATGACGGTACTGATCCACATCTCTTTGTTCGTAAATGTCCGGTTCGAGTTATTAGTTCGATGTTCATGGTCAAACTTGAGTTGAAGGGAACCATGACGTCGTCGACTCCTTTATTGTTGCGTGTACTCAGAAACAGTTTGCTTATGTTGTATATACGGTGTTGAATGGGTGGTGTCGTCTCGTCTCGGCCAGGCCTACGACGTCGTACCTTATCCTTCTTGCTTTCATGAGCAAGTCTTCTATTGAGAACTCGGGTGAAAGTGTACGTGCTTTGTAGGTACAGATCGTCACCATTGTTCTTTGTAATCCAAGCAGCTTCCATTGGCCCTGAGACTTTAGCAGCCTCTTCATACTCGTCCATACTCCCAACGCTGCGAAATTGGAACTCTTTCGGGGTCAGGAGAATGAGTCCCGTTTTTTTATTACTGTGTTTAGCATTTTGATACCTACGTATAGCTTTTCTGGGCTCTGAACGTGGCGGCTGGGTATACTCACGGATAGCTTGCCAGGCTCTCGCAGAGTGGACATCGGGCTTGTTTGTTGGAGGCGACTTCTAATCGCTTCCCATATACTTCCTTGTCATTTGATTGCAAATTTTGGCCGAATTGACTCGTAGAATGCAATCTGCATGAACGATAACACACCCATGGACGCACACATGGATACGTTGTCGAAAACACAGAAAGCCTGAGCCAAATTGGCCTAGCAGAAACGTATCAGGGAAGCATAAAGTCGCTTTGGGTCCCCGATTAACCCTCTATTCGCCACCTGAGGACGCTTTACGTTATAATCTCGAGAATAACCGACATGTATTCCCTCTTTAAAGGAGATTATGGCACGTATAAGGTGGATGTGTAAATGTTAATATTTAGTTGTTTAGATTATTGAGGTTGTTGTCAGTTGTGTTGTTCATCACCATACTTTCCATGATAACTGCCCTAGTTTTTAGTTTTCGTTTAGAGAAGGGAATATAAGTAATAAAGGGTTTCTACTGATTTTTCTCTCATTTCAGGTTACCTGTGTCGCGATTGGTTCCCGTGATAAGTCGCTATCCGTATGGGTCCTTCCAAGAGTAAAGCGACCTGTGGTGGTCTTACAAAGACTCTTCAAACATTCTGTCACTGATCTATCATGGCGTGGCACTGATCTGGTGGTATCATCTCAAGATGGTTCTATAAAGTATCTGTCGTTTCGAGAGAAAGAACTAGGTGTAATGCTTACGGCTCAGAAGATGGTGAGAAAAAGTTTGTTATTTTTAGCCCAATTTGATTTAATAACATTTTGTGAAATCGTGATTCTGGAATAACATTGATTTATATGCCTATGTTTTCGTTTTTACCTCTAAATAAGTTTACGTAGTCGCAGCTTTTTGAGTAAACAATCGACATTCTGATATTCGTGGTATAATGTGCTTTAGGGAAATGTGTGTGAGTCGCTTTACAAAATACGGCCTGTGCAGTACTGCAGTTATTCAAATGGAGGAATGGTAGATACACCTACTAAATCGAATTCATTTATTGATTCACCAGAAGAACTTATGGCGAAAAGGAAGGTTAGATTAATGTATCAGTTTTTCAGTATCGTTTCATGGCAAATTAAACCCCTGGTTTCTATGGATCCTCTAGATTCAAATGAAGGAATTCTAGGCAGAAGCGGCTATATCCAAAGAGCAAAAAAGTCTTGAACCGATGCAAACTGTGGGACCTGCGAAAGGTAATATCCTCGCGGAGCAAAGACAACAGCAACTTGAAGTGAGTTGGCATTTTTTTTCCACTTCAACATGTATTCTGAGTGCACGATTACGACTGAAGTAGATCAAAGTGCGCCTTGTGGAGGAACAACCATATATTTTACATGTTCGTAAGCAAGTTCTGCAGCTGATCTAGAATTTTTTAATTTATTCTTTTATGCATTGACCAAATCTTTACAGCTGAACACATTTTTGAGTTTATATTTGAAATGTTTCTATGGAGGAGAACTACAATAAGTATGAGGTTTCTTTACAGAGTAATGTCCTTTGGGCAAAGTGGACCAATCACTCATGTCAAACCCGTGTAAATCTTTGTCTCCATCATTAATGTTCAGTTGTTTTTTAAAATCGTTTGAAAATGATTGAAGCATTGGATAGTACGGAGCTATATCTCATCTCGAGCTACAAATCATCTGCATAAATCTAATTTTCGCACTTTGTAATGATGTCATTATTGACATGAAGACAATGCTCCGAATATTCCATATCACTCCTTGAATGAAAGTCGATAGTGGCCACATCAACTTCGGCATCAGTGACGAACGTCATTGGGTATCTTCTGTATCATGTTCGTCCATCATCTACCATTTCGTTGATCGTTGACCGGGTCGACTGAGCGTCAGTAGAGTTTACTTTTCTATCTATCGTGAGCAAGGATAGCACAGGAAGCTCTCTCCTCTTTGAGCATCATGCCTTTCTCCTAGTGTCTTGTTGAAGCTCTATGGCCATTGAATCAGTTGTGTGGGTTGCCAACTCGTGGAATCCAATTTTCTGGGCACTCATGAGCTATCCTCCACACAAGCCGAGGTTCCAGATTTGCTTTTTTCTTAGCCAATTTTTACCGTGACGGTGATGAATACCTTCTGGTGTTAGTCATCTGACACGAAGTTGGTATGGAATATTTATGGCTAACGTTTCGGTACTTTCCTCTTCTTTAGAGCCACTTTGATCCGAGTCGATGATCCAGTGGTGGTCGTCCTCTCCATATGAGTGAGTGTTCATTCTTGCATCGAGTCGAATCCGGTGAAGTGGAGCACCGATCGAGTTAAAAATCCCACTCATTGGCCCCCTTTTTTAGAGGACGGATGTTGTATTTGTGCCGAGGTTAATTAAAAGTCGGTTTCTAGATATGTATTATTACGCTAATGGGCGCGTATAGCGTAGTGGTCAGAGGCGCCCTGCAATACACATGGGATCGATACCTGCGCCCCAAGCTCACAATACCTTCCATTGCTTCGGATCGGCAAATTGGTACCAGACCTATCTGGGAGTATAGTAGCACTGACTGGATACATAATTAGGCCACCGCGAGTTATTTAGCCCAGATATGCATTCAATCACCTCCAAACGATGCTTAATGAAGTTTAATGCATGGTGCATCCTTCAGGTGCTCATCAACGCCGAGATCTTTATTCTTTTATCCTTTTTATATAAATACGGCAACACTTGCCTGCATGCATGGGTATGGTTGCATAAATGCGGATTATGTCATGAAGTATGGAATTTTCTCCGGAAACGACGACAACGCGTTCGTTCCTCACCGGAGACACTTGCGGTTCGGAGCTTTGTAAACATCTCAACATCATTGAAGGTGATAGCTTTTTTGTGAAATTTTTGTACACTTCACGAAGATCATTTATATACTGAGTAGGGACTCCCCGACTGTATAAGGCTTCCATGATTGCTTCTATCTCAACTGAGTCAAAATCGTTCTTTAAATCGCTGAAAGTGAGACAGCGCGGTCGTTTGTACTCTTGCAATACTTAAGTGAGTCTTATTATCGTGTGGATTTGGTCTATCGTACTGAATTCTTTTCGAAACACTGCTTGCTGTTATTGCCGCCCTTCACCTAGTGCTCTTTCAGTCCTGCTTAGGATGACCCGAGTGAGGAAATTGTCGACGACATTCGGCAGGTAGATTGGGCAATTGTCATAAAGGTCTCAGTTTTTGAAAAACGATGTGGTCTTGCTGGTACTCCATTAAATAGACACCTGGCATTCTTGCTGCTTGTGTGTGAAACCAATGTGTTGATAATGACTGGGAACAGACATTTCATGTGTTTGAGTCGTATCCAGTTCTGAGCAGGTGTTGTTCGATTCTTCGCAGACGAGACAGCATATACGATTTTCGAAGGGAGAACCTGTGAAACGGTATATCCATCCTTTTCAATGTCGTATGGTGACAAGAGAATGTTGCTGTTAGTCGTGTATAATTGAGTCTATTACTGCAGATTTAAAGGCATCGTTCACTTGCTAAACTTCGTTTAATTCTTATTAGGTGAGCAAACTCATTCCAAATTCCATGGGAGGGTTATGTCCTCGATGTGATGGTCACTGTTGGGTAGCAATACAAGGACTCTCCTGCACATATAAAATATCATAACCAAAATGTTTTATACGAAATAGGAAATTTGAACGCGGTTTTAGAAGGTGTGCATATAATGAAAGTCATAGTAGAGGGTCAACGGAAGTTCTGATATTGCGAAGTACACCTGAGAAAAGCGGTTCGACATTAGCTTAAAAAATCGGCTGCTTCTCCGTATAACCGTGTCCTTCCCCTTTGGTTTGCTACTCGTTCAGATAGGAGGAGTTAGAGGACACGAAAAATATAAAGTCGATGAAACCCCTTATACATTGAAGGAATCGATTGAACGTGATGCTCCACGTTGATGGTGAATGTCTTTGTAGTTATTTTGTTGGCTGTTTCGGTCATAGGTAAATAATAATTTCAAAAAAGCCCAAAGAAACGCGGTAGTTGTAGTTCAAGTGGTCGCTAGTTTACTTCTCACATAGGATCTATGATCTCCACAGAGCCTTGAAGTAACACACAAACCCATAGGCAAATCCGAAGACCTTGGATTATGGATGCAAGAAAGTGAACCTAGTGGAGGAAATGCCTGAATCCATATAATGTACGAAGACAGGTATACAAAGACAAGAAAGCATTTGGCCAAGCGTGTCGTTTTGTCACAGGATTTTTTTTTTAATATTTGTGTCTTATAACCTGAGTCTATCACTCCTATATGATGAGCAACTAAGCTCGAGGTCTCAGTGAAATTAATTAAGTTGCTACTCATAGCTTCACGGTTCTTATTGGTCATCTGCCATGCCTTATAAACCTAGCAGTTCTGTAGGCTCGGTGATATGCGGTAGCAGGTCTCAATTCATCACCTGATCTAGTAATTGAGGAATTTCCTTTAGTTCTCGAACATCCAGCATTGCATTTTATGTGTTATCGACAATGACAAGTCATGAATCGTTAGCATTTTTGAAAATATCAAAGTGCCTGTTTTTGCTCTAAAAGTATTGTTCAGAAGTGAAGTGGTTAAAGAAATTTCTTGCGTGGAATGACTAAGAAATCACCCACAAATTCCCTAGTATTTTTTACGTTTATTTTCAGTTTTTCTACATTGTAGATGTTAGTTGTCGGGATTTCTTTCCTAGGTTCGAACCTCTGATGGGAAGCGCCGAATTCAACCGATATTTCTGGGTTCAACAGTTGATGCTGAACCATCGTCGGCAGTGCAGCCAAAATCGCAGTTAGTTCTATGTGATTCACAGAGCCTGTTCAAAATTTTACACCATATTTTTTCGTCATGCTATTGTAGAAATAGTTTAAAGGATGGCTTAAAAAGGCTTTTCTGACGGGAGAGGCATATATTGATTGCTTGTTTAATTACCCTACACGTTGCGAATAAGAAGGATGTTTGAACAGAAACACCGTGCTTCTTGTGTGTATTTAAAGCTATTTCATTCTACTGGTCAAAATTTCCTGAGCATTGCAGGCGTTCTGCATACTCTAGTCATACTGATGATCCAGTGACCTCTGACACCGATGACACTACTACACGGTAAGTTGGTTCCTTCCTTATTGATGCGGTATTTGATATATATTTGTGAAAAAAAACTGACAACGAGGATGGTTGAAAGTAAAGAGCTAACAACAAATTGTTGCTTTTTATTCGTCGATATAATGTTTTATACCAATTGAACATCCCAAAAAGTAGTGAAGGTTCAGTTTTCCTGAAACGAGGATTAAGAGAATCAGCTGTGTATCTTCAGTGGGCTTCCAGCACGCTGCTTGGACTTCCTCTCTAGAAAAGCATAATTTATCATTACTACTCTTAGAAAAATTGATGACAGTCTTCCTGAAATGTATAGACAACGACAACTTCTCACCTGGATTTTTACAGGGATAAAAGTTCGCCACCATTGAGGAAGTCATTTAGTCAACTGGCGTCAACTGATGACTCAATGCTCGAGAGTACTGATGATGATGTGGATTCGGATGTAGATGGCGTTGCAAGGCCAGAAAAGGAAACAGTTCAGCTGGAAGAACTGGGAAAGAGGTCGAAAATGATGATGATTGACTTCAAGGTGAATTCAAAGGTGTATAGAGTCCAAAAGTAACTAACAGTGCCGGTTAGCGTCAAACGTTTTTTTTTTGGTCATCATTGGCTACCTTAGTTACTGAGAAATTAGTTTTCTATAGGAACTATTGTTTTACTTATCGAGGCCAATGAATAGGTTGTTTGTCCAGTGGATTACTGGAATAATAACTGTATTCTTGGATATGTTCTGTTTACAGCTATGAATAGCTGAAAACTGGGGCATGTTTAATTATAGCATGATATCGTTGAAGATCAAGGTTTTCATAATTTTTTTAGAAGCCTGTACTACGACCTGTAGAATCGTCACGTATCGAAGTAGTGCATGCAAGTACGATTCTGGATGTGCCTGAACAGCGCGCTACAATTTGCGAGGGTGTGCAAGCGGTTCGACTCGTTTTATAACGTCTTATGAATTACAGTTGGTTCACCACTTTATCCCTATGGAACACTTGGGTTTTGAATGTTTTTCTTTTGCGTGGTACCTATTACTCTTGCTCGTCGTTCCCGTCTTTTATTTTTAACCGATACAATGCACGTATAAGAATGGTTAAAAATGAATTCAGGTACTGGGCGACACCGTAGAAGTAGACAACGATTGGATTATGGGTGGTGTTCGAGCTAGTCGCATTTCTTACCTACATGCTCGTATCACAGTTTGGAGCGTCGAAGTAGCGCCAACTGTTGCAGTTGTTGTAGCCAATAGGTGAGTGCAGAAATGGTGTCGAGACATATCAATTCAGAATCGACGATAGCATAGGTTCTGGACTGTTATTGGATGCTATGACCGAAGTGTTTTTGTGTATGCTAGTTCAAATGGTCGATTGCACTTTCGTAATCAATTGGACTCAGCACCGGTCCGGCTGGGAGTCAATGGGCATAGGATGTATGTCCTCACGCAAACTGGTCATCTAAGCACGTGGTATGTCTTTTAATGTACCTCGTAGAACGCTCTACATCTGTTCTTTCTTATTTACTTTAATTTCAACTACGAATTGATATTCTCTATCAAAAGGCAATCTTTATAGTAGTGAGCCTCTACTCTAACGACATTTATAGGGATATTGACCAAAACAGAGCGATACTGTCTCGTCAGTCAATTGCGGATTGTGTTGTGAAAGGTTTGCCATGATATTATCTGGCTGCTTCTTTTGTTCGGAGCGACACTTTTTCGGTGGAAATTTAAATCGAATTAGAACCTCTTGCCTTCTCTTTAAAATAAGTAGAAATGACCTTTTGTAGCTCTGAGCACCTCATTTTAGCTTTAATCAGTAGAGTGTAATCCTTCATTGATCAATTAAGCCAATACGATGAAATAGTAATAGACTATTTACAGATGCGAATCTCACATCAATATCACTGACACCAACGGGTGTACCTCTTCTAGGGTTTTCGACTGGAAATATTTTTACATTCTCATTAGATATGAACTGCTGGTATGTCTTGGTTTAAAAAGAACATTGTTGTTGAAAACTGTTATGGAGTATTAATATGGCGTTAATGACGATAGATGAGATGTTGAGAAATTGAGCTTAGTCATGCTAAAGCTTTTCTTAGATACTAAGATGACCTGTCTTCTTTTTGTCCTGACTCCCTAGCACTTCTTCCATTCATATTCATATGTGAGCTTTGCTGTGGCCAGCGCTCAACGACACCCGTGAAGAGGATGGCAAAAAATTTTCAGGCATCGAGCAAACTCCGAATTAAAATTCAAAGACCTTCGTGAGTTATAGGTGCGAGGAAGTTTTGGCGGTGTTGTGTCAATTTGTCATATTCCTTTACCATCTAGGAAAGTGAATTGACAGTGCTGGCGCAAACGAAGGCGATGGTTTTCAAACTGTCGAATGCTATATAGACGAAGGTTGCAAAAAGAATTAAATGATGTTCTCGTTAGACCGTTTGTGACGCAGGAGGCGCCCTGCAATGCACACGTGGAATCTGTCCCCGTTCCCATGGCCCACCAAGCCTTCCATTCCTCCGGGGTGAGCAAATTCGTACCAGACTTCTCTAGAAGGATAGCGGCACTGGATTGAAACATCGGTGAGCCACTGCGAGTCATTGTAAAGCCAGGTATGCATTAAATCACCTCCAACGATGTTTAATGAAGATGAATGCATGGCTCATCCCTCAGGGATTGATCAACGCCGAGAGCTGTATCCTTTTTTTTATTCTCTTTAGACCTCCACGACTCTCGAGATTGTCTTGTTGTAGTCAAGGATGCTAGTTCTCTTGCGAAATCAAGTTTATATGAATGCGTCGTTTTCTTGTTCAGCAATCGCGAGGTTTTTAAACAGCATACATTTACTTCCATAGAGAAACAAAATACAATACAACACTAGCTGATGTTTCGGCTCATTGGAAGTCACATATTAAAAGCGGTGAGTTTTTCGAGAAGCTGTTGATCATGTAATTACTATAGAGTTTTTCGTCTTTTGTAAGTGGTATTGAAGCGTTTGGCCTAGTAGATTGTATATCAGCGTACCCTTCCAGGCTCTGAAGAAGGCGATACTGCCGAAACGTCAGCTAGTGTTGTATTGTATTGTGTTTCTCTATGGAAATAAATGTATGCTGTTTAAAAACCTCACGATTACTGAACAAGAAAACGACGCATTCGTATTCCAATGCCGGGGTTAATAGAAAGTCGACCCTGGAAATCGAGTTCGTTTTACAGGTTGCTCTTCATTCTTCGTGAGATGCGTCAGAGTGATTTTCTGAGAAATTTATGGCCAACAATCAATATTGCTATCGGACGGTAGTTACGAAAGTCATCGCTAAAGTTCTTTGTTACCAAAGAAGAATGTACGAAATCCTATACCGATTGGGTATCTGTTACGTTTGAAATTATAACAGATGTGCAGGTGTCAAGTACGTTCCACGAAAAGCGTATATTTGGCAGTCACCTGGTCGCAGAAAATCAATCGAAATATTTAGTCCATCAACTGTGTTCGGCCCCAAGACTACAATTCAGCTCGAGCTCCTGAGCAAAGGCTTCAACGTTCTTTCAGTAGTTGTAGTGGCGTTTGATGCAGTCGTTGTGAATAGAAAGAAATTTGTGAGGAATCTTTGTGTAATCGATTCTATATAAAAACGGAAGACTGTAGCAAGTCCTTCTTCATCGAACAAAGAAACAAGCGAAATACATTCGTGAAAATTTCCACAGCATCTTGACACTCTTCCTTTTTTCTTGTATTGGTTACGGAAACAGCATGTATCAGCATAGATGGAGGTCCTCCTGTGCTGCACTTCTGCAAATGGCGTTAATAACTACTTATTAGATATGCGTAACAGCGGGATATTGTTGATCTTATATTTCTCGGCAGCTTAGTTTTGCTTTACAAACGTTTAAGGCCTGTCTTTTGGTAAGGAAGAGTTTGTTCAACATTCCTTCACACTCCTTTCAGCAGAATCTCAGTTTTTCATGTAATCTCTGCTTTCGAGTGATCTGTTATCTATATCTTATTCTTTTCGTAAGTGTTAGGATTATTGCGTCATTATAGGCAGATAGTGGACTCATTACCACCGTTGATGAAGTTGTGCGATTCTATAGAGGCCGATGAACTGTCAGATGGACCCATTGGAAGGCTTCTGAAGCGTCGTAAACGGTATTTTTAAATGTAAAATGGATTACAATGTTGCTTAAAACTATATGATAAAAGCAGTCATTAGAATACCCAAATGTATTCATACATATTTTATATTTGGTGCTTTCCTTCTTTATACATAAATATATGCATTATTTTTGGCACTTTCCTATGTTTTTTGTTTTAAGACTCTATCTAATTTAATCTCCAATTCTTGTCGATTTTGCATGTTTCTCTTTCATGTGTAAATAACATTATAGTTCCTTTACAGTCCTGGTCTTTTGCCATCAATTCCTCGTTGGGTAAGCGCATCTGTGAAAGAATCACTCATTGAAGGTTGGCTTCAAGCAGCAAAAACCATAGGTAGCTCTGTGGATTATCGCGGAATGATGATGACATACGTACAGCAACTTGTCAGAAACAGTCAGATTTTCACTTTATTGTTATTTTTTTAACAATATTTATGTCAGTAACTTGGTTTGTGTGTCATTCGTTCTTCATCTGTTCTAAGAAGAATGAGTTTTCAGCAAGACATAGTTAAGTCCTAACTTAGTTTCATAACCTTTTTATTTTGTTTGGCCTCTGTATATAGTGTAGCTATAGCGGCAGAGAGATTTCGCATCGCAGCTTTTAGCGCGATGAAAAAGAGCTGCCGACCGTACTATAAACCAACCTGGGAACCACCTGACGAATGTTTTGTGATCACAAACTTTTGCCCATGTGGTTGCTCTGGGAGCACTAATTTCCAATTGGTGTAAAGCGTAATGGAAATTATGGCTAGAAAATGATGATGAAAGGAAAAAAACGCTTTTTCCATTAGCTTCTGTGGTGAAATTTTGAATGCTTTAGGATCTCTGTCCAAAATATCACATATATTAACGGATCTTAATGGAAAAGGCACTGTTTGTGGAGTTCAGCGGAAAGCCCTACGCGAAGACGTGGAACGAATTATTATGTCTGATCCTACGACGGCATCATTAATACGATCGGAAGCTTCTGATGGCTTAGTATTTTAAGTCGCTTATTTACCATTGTGCGACAATTGATCTGTCAGTCTTAATATATCCCTATTCATTGATGCACCTTATTAGGTATTTTCTCTTTTGGTCTCAAGTTGTCTTTTGATTTTGCTATGTTTTATTTTGATAAGACTTTATGATCCACAGCAGTTGACTCATATTCTAACCACTTTTACCTTCTGTGTAGCATTTCATCCATATCCACCAATTCGCGAAATGATCTTAGTTGGTGTATTACTTTCAAAACTAACTGAAAAGTGCTTTCTGGCGGTTTATATATGTGCTCATTGTACGAACACTCTGAACAGTGGTTTTATTTGCACTGACATAAAAACTGTTTTTAAGAAATTCCATTCGTCGCGTTGTTACAATCTGTGATCTATTATTGTACCATAAGTGTTGTTTTAATATTAAAAATGATGTGGATGTGTGTTGTAGAGAAAGCCACTTTTGTAATCCAATTTTCGAGAAAGTGTCGGTAATAGTTTTCTTTTCCTTCCAACAGTTTCTCACCTCATCGTGGCAACGAGGCCTTCCTTGGCGTCGGACTGCGAAGTACAGCAGGAGAATTCGTCCCCCAGGCAGGGTCTCCCAGGCTGGGAAGGAGTCCGGTGTTTCCATCAGAAAGCCTAGCTAAGAGTAAACCAGTACCACGATCGATCACCGTACTGGTATCAAAGTCGCATGGTGGCAAATCTACCTCCGATCCACAAGGGCTGCCACTGCTTGTGATGGTGAGGACCTGGGGCAGACGCTGGCCAGGCTGACCTCAGGTTTCCAGGGAACCTAAATGGCTTAACCAGAAAATCTCCAAAAAATGGTGATTTTGTTTGTGGCTGCACAACCAGTGAGGATGGGCCGTTCAACTATCAAGTATCAAGTGTAATTTTGTTGCAGGTTCAGTGTCTGATTTGAAATCCAGTGCGCCCCATTTTCTAACCGAAATTTGGGTGAAAAGAACAAGTTGCGTTTGGTTTTGGCAGAAAACCCCGAATGTATACTATAATGAAGGAACTAAGCATATTAGATAAGAACTCATGTCTCTCTCCTACAAAACGCTTGCATTAGAATACCGTAGTCAGTCGGCGATACACTCTTGGTGAGGAAATCCTTATCAGTTTGATTGAAGCAAAGTAAACAAAGCGTTGTATGTATTTATAGTGTTGGGAGAACTAGCCATTTTACGGTTTCTAACTTGCGATAGACTTCGTGTCCACGATTACGCATGTGTGTGTTTTTACCGCTTAACCAGTTTCTTGAACAGTTTAGCAGTGTTTGCTAGCCTTTTCCAATATTACCATGGATTAGATTCTTTATTTATTCATTTACTTATTCATTATCTTGGATTTCTACGACTGTGGTTTCGATCCCGCCCTTCCTTGGGTTGGTAAGGTGCTTTTCCAATGACATTTGCAATAACTTTACTTCATTTTATTCCACACAACCTGTCTTCACATCTGCTGTGTGGAGCTCATCACTTTTCGCACTTGATTCGTTTCTTGTATCCATCATCAACGAAGGCGTTCAAACTATTCTCGTTTGACACTTCACATAGCAATTCCCACGACCGACTTTCTTTTAACATCGGCATTGATTGATAATTCAATGGTTTTCTTCAATAAGCAGACACGAGGTTGTTATTACAGCATTTATTAGGATACCATAGCTGACGTTTCAGCGGTTTCGCCTTCTTCAGAGCCTGGAAAGGTCAAATTGAGATGTGATCTACTAAGCCAAACACTTTCATAACCCCAGCAGATAAAACTTAGCAAATAAATTTGCATTCGCATAAGAAACAGCTTCATTTAAACACCTACCGTTTATTTGTTGTAAGTAGTTGGTTAGTTAGTTGGTTGATAGCAGCCGCGCAGAGTAATACATGGACGACGACTGTGCACCAACTAATTTAAATACTTACAACAAATAAACGGTAGGTGTTTAAATGAAGCTGTTTCTTATGCGAATGCAAATTTATTTGTCAAGTTTATCTGTCGGGGTTATGAAAGTGTTTGACTCAGTAGATCACATCTCAATTTGACCTTTCCAGGCTCTGAAGAAGGCGAAACCGCCGAAACGTCAGCTATTGTATCCTAATAAATGCTGTAATAACAACCTCGTGTCTGCTTATTGAAGAAAACCATTGAATTATTCTCGTTTGAGTTGAGCTACTTTAGTATGAGGGTTGTCGTCGTCTCTGTGAATGTCATTGAAAGCTGGTCGAATTCATTCTCCGGGAGTCCTAAGATAGTGGGACTAGAGTGTTTTCGCTTGCACTGGAGACAATAAAGTGATCTCGGACAAGTCATGAAAATTTCCCGATTCTGGACATATGAGAGGTTTGGTGATCTGGGGACGTGGTTAAAAGCTTATTGAATGGCTGATAGGATATATTCTAAGTAGAAATAGCAATCGCAAGTGAAGGTGAGAGTTATTTACGTTTTGTGGCTCCGTCCATGATACGGCATTATACACTCTTGAAGTCAAATTGCTTGTTGTTTTACACGTGTTGCATTCACTTTTGTTTTTCATGAACAGCTTAAAGAAACCGATGGAATGAAATGGGTTTTCAAGGACTCTAGAAAATATGTGGCACATATCATTTGACATAATTTAAAGGTCATTTTTAAAGGTCAATTTAAAGGTGAAACATTGGGACAGTCATTTTTATTTCGTTACCAAGTCGTTTTCATCTTCTAGGTGGAGCCAAATCTTAATAGATGTAGATCTTAATATAGACACTAGTCTACCTCATCCTTTTCAAATCATGATGACTCTTAAAATGTGTTTGTGTATATGTCCATATTTTTTCTTCTCAAGTAACGTTTTTTGTCATGTTTGCATTGGTGGTGTTTGTTAACAATCATACTTTTAAAGGGATGAGTTTTTTCGCATTATCGTAAATATGCGAGATGTGTATGATATTTTCGAAGAATATTATTTGTTGCTAGAGGTGTACAGTCACAATGACGGATGAAGACGACGTTGAAGTGAAAGTGCTATTTTTTGGAAAAGCTCGTGAACTAATGGATTGTGACGAAAGAAGAGTGTCCCTCCCACGCAGTACGTCGTATCAAAGACTTAAAGAAGCCATCTTTAAAGAGGTAAACAGACCCTGTTAGACGTATAGCGTTTTTGTTAGTTTGTCTGTTAATATAGTGAATATATATATTTATGTATATACACATATTTATGTATATATACATATTTGTGTATATATATATACATATATATGTTTTCAAGTCAAACTTTTCGACTTCGACATCTTATTTCTGTGGCTGTCACGTCTAGTTTTTCGTCTCATTCGTCATGAGTTGAATGGAACTCATACAGGTCAATCTTCCCATTTAACAAGTCCGCCCAATAAACCCTCCTTGTTGTGTTGCAGCTTTTGCTCTATAGTTCGATTTTTCTCTTTGCTTTGGCAATAGTTCTAGTGTTCTTTTATGTACTGTCTCATATGTACGGAACATTTGAGTTTCGTGTCTGACGAAGCAAAAACCTGCCTACCATCCAACCGCGATCCTAAGTTCGGAACTTGGAAAACTTCTAGGGAAAGCTTTTCTCGATCACTTTCAGGGGTGGGTGTTGAAAAAGGCCTTCAAAATTTTAAATTTTTAAAAGCATTCGCAGCGTCAGCCAGAATCAGCAGTACATTGTGGAAAACCACGGTTCGCTTTTGGTTATCGTTTTCGAAGCACGAGCTTTGATCTAGAAAGTGGAAAAGAATTCGAATACCTACCTCATTTTATCTCGACGTGGACAGTTAGTCTGTTGATTTTTTGATGAACTTTACACGTGGTCTTCACAAACTTTTATTATTGGTAACGTTTCGGCGCTTTCACTTATTTCAGAGCTACAATAATTCGAGTTGAATGTCCATAGCAGTTGCTGTTTCTTGCGAATGGGTCTTCGTAGTCGCATCGAGTTGGCTGGAGCACACATGAGTGAAGTAACTCCACCGAATAGTGCACTTTTACATTGAGCAGTTCTTAGTGATTGCCCATCCAAGATTCGTTTTATGGTGACAATCCATCTCGTAGCAGTCGGACGCTGTCATGCAGCAAAGTACTACTTTTAATTTGCCTTCCATATAGACTCACCACAAGGCGCGTGTGGAGCTGTGCTTCGAGGCGACCTGCTGTGCACATGGGATCAATCCAATTCGCTGGGCTTATCAAGCTTTTCACCCCTCCTGGTTCGGAAAATTGGTACCAGACTTGTCTGGGAGTATAGCAGCATCGACTCGATACATCGGTAGGCCACCGCAAGTCATTGTACAGGCCAGTTATGCTGTCAGTCACCTCTAACGATGCTGTATGGAGGGGAATGCATGGTGCATCCCTCGGGAATTGATCAGTGCCGAGAACTTTATCCTCTATATACCCACCATGGTTAATCACTATTTCGATTTATTGGTGAATCTGCACGGCATTATTATAAACATTTATTGTGGCTAACGATGGGCAGTCGACCAAGAGTCATCTATTATCCTGAAGCACTGCTCCCTGAGGTTACATCGTTTCTGCAACGAGAGTTCTTCTACACGAGAGAACAGTGCTGGGTGAGTTTACAGAATTCGTTCTCTCCTCTAATCGATTCGCCCTGATGAGATTACGCAGAAACGCATTCGTACTATCCACTACTCTATTCGCTCCGATGAGACTATACAGAAACAGACTATTAGAAAAAACAAGTACTGTGAAAAGTCGACTCAAATAATTGCTGCTCTGAAGAAGGCAGTAATATCAATTTGCGCAGGCCCGTCTACTTGACCCACGTGTGGGTGACAGTTCACTCTGATCAAATTCTAGGTTTTAATACGATAATAACATATTTTGTCTCATTTCTGACATTGTTGTTGAGCCACCAATACAAACGACAATGAGCCACTTCTTGTTGCAAATAAATTTCTGCCTTGTTGGCAAAAGTGTGTAAACCTCATTGCGTTTTCTAACTAGCATGTAACAGTTGAACCTAATTTTTTGATGACCACGATG